TTTGGAAGCAGATTTCCAGGTCTCTCTTGCAAGGTGCCTATGAACAGACACAAACCTCCAAACTTTTAGCCAACTACACTTGTTTAAAAGGAAGATACCCACTAAATTGTACATGTAGAAATTGCTGAATTGTTTTATGCTTTGTTGTATGTATTTTCACCACAATAATAAAAAAAAAAAAAGTAAGAGATACATTTATTTAGCTAAGACCCCTCTGTGCCATTCTCTCATCCCTAGCTATGCATTCACCATACTCATTTATGGTCATTGTCATTACATCTGTACCTGGCAGAAAAGAGATCAAGGTCATCTGCAGACCTTGATTTCCTAACCAACAGCATTTAAATCATTCACAGACAGGTCTAATTCCAGGAAGCTTGAGAGGAGGGAGGCCTTTCCATGTTCATTCAATTTATCCAGATCCCCCTTGAAGAATGAGGTGCCACTTCAAAGAGGTGTGTGTTCTCTGGGTGGCTTTATAGCTTCTGGTTGATTTATGCTGGAGTTTAGTCCCTGCCTTTACAAAGACTTTGTTTCAGGAAGTATATTTATCTGACCTTTCTTTGAATAGACAGTCCATAGCAGTGCATAGAAAGAGATGGATTCTCCATGGAGAGAGGTGGCATTTGGATGAGCTGCAGGAATCCTGGTGCTTCTCTGTGTTTTATTCTCTAAGTCTGCACTGGCCACCTTACAGCTGGGCTTTACACATCTTGGGTGGAAGAGAAGGGGACAGGCATGATGAGTGGGGGATATATAATGTAGACTCTAAGGCAGCTTTTCACTTTAGTTAATGAGAATCAGACTTGGGCCAGTCAATGTCCAAAAACACTGTTGGAAGTGCCTGGTGGCCCAGTGCCATGATGATTTTTTTTTTTTTTAATTCAAGGAATTGGGGAGGGGGACTTGTATAAGAGAAACTCACGCCCTTAAAGAACCCAATGAAATTTCTTCCTCTCAGGTTTTATTTGCTCACCCATAAAGTTGGTGTTGTTATTTTCAGTTGCCATGAAGTTGGCCCCTGACTCATGGTGACCCCATGCACAACAGAATGAAACACTTCTCAGTCCTTCACCATCCCCATGATCAGTTATGGATTGGACTGCTGTGATCCTTATGGTTTTCATTGGCTGATTTTCGAAAATAGATTGCTAGGCCTTTCACTCTAATCTGTCTTAGTCTAGAAGCTCAGCTGATACCTATTCAGCATCATAGCAACTCGCAAACCTCCACTAGCCAACTATGGAGATTGTGCATAAGGTGCATTGTCTGGGAACCAAATGGAAAGCATGAATTGTACCATTGAACCAGCAATTCTCTATGCATGAGGCAAATTCCTATTATTTGGTGCCCTCCAGCTCCACAGGGTGGGTTGTTTGGTGGGTCAAATCATATATATACAGCATGCCACATAGGAGTGATACAAACCCCAGATGCAATGTGAGACTCAGGCAGCAAGGCCCTGAAGGGACAGAGATCTGGGCTGGCTGAACAATCACAGTGAGCAATATCAGACAGTCTCTGTGCCCTTACTCTCTCCAGAACCTTCTAGGCCTTAGAACCAGTATTTGGTGTCAAATAGAGGGTAATGCTCCTGCCCCTAAAGGGAGGGTGCAAGGTGGGAGTGGAAAAGCTATTTTGTTCCTGATTTTCTCCCCATAAAATTAAACCACAATTCCCAGAAATGTCTTCAGGCAACAAAATGCCAAGGGAAGCCAGATTGTACCTACCCACTGCAGCTTTTGCCTTCTCCTAAGGGAGCTGTTGCTAGGGAAAATGTGTGATGCCCCAGAAATCTTTGCCTATAGACTACCATTACGGCTTCCTATGATGATTAACTGGCTGCACTGCTTCATTTAAACAAGTAATTGGTCAGAGGTAAATGTCTTCTTTCAAGGATGTTTCAGACTAAGACATTTAATAGACATTAATATCATTAATATGCCAAACAAAAAGATGTGGGTGTTCTTTGGAGAGAGGTGTTGGCTGGTGCAGGGTCAATTAGGGCCACCCCTGGATACCCAAGGAGCACTGTCTTGTTAATGGGGATCCTTGCTGAGTCTCTTTCTGAAGTTCCTTTCCAAAAGTGAAATTAAAATCATGCAATTAAAATGTTCACAGTTGGGGCTGGATGTTCTCCAACTGATTGAGAGATGAAGTGGACATGCCAACATTTTGAAACAGCAATTGTCTCCATAATTAAATGCAATTAACTGTTATAGCTGCCTGCTTTTCTCCACCTAAGATTGATTGAAATGCTAAGACTTTTAAGTCTTCCCCATCTGATTTCTCTTTCCACCCTAACCAAAATTCTCACCAATAAGTGGAGATTACAAAGGTAATGATTCAGCATACCAACTGTTATAGATAGAATTGTGTTCGCCAAAAATTTGTATCAACTTGGCTGGGCCATGATTCTCAGTGATTTACAAGTTATGATACAATGTGGAGATATGTAATGATACCCCATGATCTGATGTGATAAGCCAATCAGGTGTAAAAAGATTAAAATTAAGGGTGAATTGCAACACCCTTAGTGTCATTGCAGCTCTGATCCAATGTAAGGGGAGCTTTCCTCAGGTATGGCCTGCAACACCTTTTATCTTACAAGAGATAAAGGAGAGCGAAGGAAGCAGAGAAGGGGAACTTACTACCACCAAGAAAAAGCAGCCAGGAGAGGACCCAGGGTCCTTGAGCTGGAACAAGAGACACACAGAGAGAAAGTCTCCCCCAGAGGCAGCACTCTGAACTAGGACTTCTAACCTCCTAAATTGTAAGAGAAATTTGCTTGTTAAAGCCATCCACTTGTGGTATTTCTGGTATAGCAGCATTAGGGAACCAAGGCACCAACTCTAACGCCAATATATAGGGTGAGCCTATCAAGAAAACTGGGGGATATGTTAGAGAAAATAGAGCTCTGGGGTGTCCAATACACATCATTTCTCCTAAGTCCAAACACCCTCCATTTGTCAGAGACTAGACTTAACAACTTTCCCTGGCTGATCTCTGGGAAGAGAAGCACTACATGTAAGTGATAATCAAAATTCAGATTATATAGATGAGAATAAAAGGCAAACCAATTAGCATTTCAAAAAACATCTTTTCTTATTGTTATGGAAAATCTGGAAAATGCTGAAAGAATAAAGAGGAAAATGTTCTACATCTTACAGAGATAATCACTGGGCGTTTTATTCCTCTTTTTCCCTACTTCATATTATTTTTTAATTAGCATTAAATGCAGATATGTATGTGATTTTTCACTTATATCACAAGTATTTTTTCTTTCTTTCTTTCTTTGTTTAATTGTGATTTGGGTGAAAGTTTACTGAGCAAATTCACTTTCCATACAGCAGTTCACATACACTTTGTCTCATGATACTGACTACAATTTACCCCAATGCAACAGCTCCCCTCCCACTTCCTTCCATTGTTATCTTTTCCCTGTGTCCATCCCTCCATGCACCCCTGCCCCCTGAGCTGTCTCCCTGTATATGAACAGCCCTTCTTTCTCCCATGATTATTCTCTCCAAGGAGTCTATCTACTTCAGGTAAATGTTCAACTCATATGCCTGTTTTTTGTTTGGCTGGAAGCCACAGGTGTGGGTTTAATTCCAGACCTGAAGGGCAGCTAGGGTTCATAGTCTCAGTTGTTCCACCAGGCTCTATCAGATTGGCAAACCTGGTCCCCCCCCCCCTCTTTTTATTTCCAAATGATTTTGAGTTTTGTTCCACATTGTTCTCCCACTCTATCCAGGGTCTCCTACAAAGATCCCCCTCTGAGTGGTTGACAGTGGTAGCTGGGCACCACCTAGTTCTTCTGGTTTCATAGTCATATAGGCTACGGGTCGCATCGTGTACCAGTTGCTTGGACTAATTGTTTCCATGAATCTCTGGTTTTCTTCATTCTTCTTTACTCTGGATGAGGAGAGACTCATTGTTGCATTTAGAGGGCTGCTTACAAACTTTTAAGATCCAGTTGCTACACGCCAAAGTAGGAGGTGTAACAATGTTTTGTACAGTATGTTAAGCCAATTGAACTTGATGTCCCCTGCTACTATGGTCCCGAGCTCACAGGTTCAACTACTCACTCCCTCTGGGTAGCTGGCTGTGACCAAGAACTGACTACAAACTTGTCCCTTGTCAGCTCTACTATACACCTGGGAATTCTTACAGAAAATACAAATACCTTTGTAGAACCATTGTCTGCCACCCCTATACATGGTCTTGGGTACACTCCCCACTGCATAGACATACCTAATAGTTCAGCTTGTCCACCCATCTATCCACCCATAAACCCATGTTTGCCTTCACTGACAATGCAGTACTGTATGTATATCACAAGTATTTTTCTTGCCATTAAATAAATTCGTGAACATTATTTAAACATCCACATAACATCTCATTTTACAGACTTACCACTATCTACTTTCCTATCCTCTTATAATTGGGCATATAGGTTATTTACAGTATTTTGCTATTATAATACAGAAAGAAACACCTTGTTGCAAAAATCTCTCTGCATTTTTGTTTTATTCTCCTTGGAAAGCTTTCTTGTAAGTGGAATGCTCTGGGCCAAAGTTTAGGATTATTTATTGAGACTTTCAGTATGTCCTGTCAAATTGCCCATTAGAAAGATGAAAAATTTATATTTTTATCAGTAGAGTTAGAAACTGTCCAATCTCCTGAACCTTATCTCCATAAGATAGAGCCTTTGGAATATCCAAAAGCTCTTTTCTAAAGAAAGCTCATTTGTTAACAGCTAATGTGCGTCTGGAAGCAAATCTCAACTGAAACCTGATTTGCTCAGCCTCTGTGTGCCCCTGCCCCAGGATTGGGGCCATGGGGGCCACCACAAGCCAACTGTCATCTAGGGCAGCTGAGTTGTACCTGTCAACAGCAAGAGATCAGAATAGCCACTGTCATCAGTGAAGACATTTGTGTATTGGGCTAATCTGGAATCTGTCCTCATTTCACTCACCTCCACTCCTGTATCCTTTTAGCTGTGTTGAATGAAGATGGGCATAAAGTCGTCTTAGAGAAGATAGATGACAGGAATGTGGTGGAGCTGGTGGTGAATGGAGGAGTCATCTTCCACTGTAACATCAATGACCTAGAGTTTGGTAAGCCCTTCATTGAGGTTTTCAACTAGCAATTTGCCTTCCATGGGTAATTCCTTAGTTTCTACTTGATATGATCAGGACCTCACACCCAATTTAAATCAAGTTTCTTTCCAAGCTTTTGACTTCTCTCTACAGGCATACTCATTTTATTGCACTTCACTTTATTGCCCTTTGCAAATACTGCGCTGCACATTTTAAAACTTGAAGGTTTGTGGCACCCCTGCCTTGAATAAGTCTATCAACACCATTTTCCCAACAACACGTGCTCACTTCATGTCTCTGTGTCACATTTTGGTAATTCTCATAATATTTCAAACATTTCATAAAGCTATTGCACACTTAATAGACTACAGTATAGTGTAAACATAACTTCTACATGCACTGGGAAACCAGAAACTTTGTGTGACTTGTTTTATTGCAATATTTACTTTATTGTGGTGGTCTGGAAGTGAAGCTGCAATATCTCCCAGGTATGTCTAAAAACCCTGTGCTTTGTGACACATGTAGACACGGTAAAATGCTTCAGACTCTTGAGATTGCTTCCCAGGACACTGAAAACAGGAGGAGTGATGGCAAGAAAATGTTTTCCACCCTAGACCTCAAATGATAGGATGAGAATTTAAGGATGATGGAATTGAGTTTTTTGTTTTGTTCTTTTTCTGGGGGCAGAGGTGGGGAAGGATCTACTTTAATACTGTATGTCATTATTGTTTGCTTCCTAAACAGTTTTTATCCATTTCTATTGTTATATTCAGGCTTACTTTGTTGTTTTGTTGTTGTTATGTGCCGTCGAGTCAAGCCCAACTCATAGTGACCCCTCCTTGGGTTTCCGAGGCAGTATCACTATGGAAGTAGGATTGCCCAACCTTCCTTACTAAGACCATTAAAGTCAACAGGCCAGTAGTGTGTGGCATTATCTTTAACTTGCTAGAGATTTCCTGCTATGCCTTAGAAAACCTCTGATTTGGTAGACTGTCACTACCCAAGTCTACCTGGGCTGGGTTCACTAATTGTGCAATACATTAAATCTTTGTTAAAGATTAGTTAATATTTCATATCCCTGTGATCTTTGCAAATGCACTTCTGGTGACAGCTGTATATCGAATATGACACCAAATTGTATATAAAGCTAACCAAAAGAAAATTTATTATATTTCCCTAGGAGTCCCTGGATAGTACAAATGGTTAAGTGCTTGGCTACTAACCCAAAATGTTGGCAATTTGAATCCACCCAGAGGCACCTTGGAACAAAGCCTAGGATCTACTTCCAAAAGTGCATAGTCATTGAAAATCCTATAGAGCACAGTTCTATTATAACACACATAAGGGCACCATGAGTCACAATCTACTCAGCACCAACTAGTTTGTTTATTTGTTGTTTTTTAGGAGGTGATGGTAAACTGGATCCATTGTGTGAACAGGCCAGGATAGCCGTGCAAGGTGCCTATTGATCTCCTCATCAACATAGTCATCTCAGGACTGTCTTCTGTCTTGGTGCAAGCTAAGATGACCTTTCCAGGGCCAGGCCAGTCAGAACATGGCCACTTCAGCCCATCTTGGAGCCTGCATGGTGTCAGGTTCTTCACCTGGCTGCAGGGAAACAAGGACCCACACAAATAATAAAACCACAGCATTGGCAGCATCTCTCAATCTTGACCATAGGGAGTACTCTCCAATATCAGGTACAAACTGAGCTGAAGGAAATAATAAAATGCAATCTAATAAAAAAGCACCATCCCTTACTAATAACGAGTAATTGCCAGAAGCACTGGTGATTCCATTCTGTAGGAAGCAAAGAGCAAAGAAATTAAAGAAGGGGAATAGGGGAGGATGTAGGCCTTTGAAAGTCTGAACCAAAGTTAATGTCAGTATTAGAAACCTGGCAATTCCTACAGCTTTCTATCTTTCTCTCAATGGAATAAATACTTAAAATTGCTGATGTAAATTTACCAAAAGCTAAACTTCATTTACTTTAATTTAAAACAAGAACATTATCTGCCTTCATTTACATTAGCCAGTCCAATGAGATATCCTCAGGAGGCCAAGGGAGGACATAAAATGGTTTCCCTGTGCCTTGCAAAAAGAAACAGCCCTGAAGAATTAAAGAAGGGTTAAACTGTCAGTGTAAAACTGAGCCATGTCAAGATGAGATTGTTTTACTTTCATCTCCTATATACTAAACTGTAATATATATCCTTAGAAGTAGAATAAGGGACAAGGAGCCCTGGTCAGTGGTGTCACTAGAGTTGGTATTACTCAGTGCAGTAACTCATGGTGTTACATTCCACTATGGACCTCTTTCCATAAGAAACCACACAGCATCCTTAGCCACATTAATGATCTATTTTAATCATAGAATAGTATGTGATAAATATAGCTGTAAATTGCTTAAAAGTAATTTTTCTTAGATTATATGAATACTAACAACAAAATTGTTTTATAAAATCTTTCAACTTTTGATTACATTGTTAGTTACATTGTTAGTAACTAAGCAGAAGTCTTTTTCAATTTTTCTCCTTCTTTTCCCTTAATTACTACTTTATTCTCAAAAAAGTTACCAATACAGGTTCACAAATACTAATTACAACAATATTATAGGTAAAACAAGGAACTCTAGTGGCATAGTGCTTAAGACATTTGATTGCTAGCCAGAAGTTTGGCAGTTCAAGCCCACCAACCAGTCCGTGGAAGGAAGATGGGGTGATCTGCTCCTGTAAAGATTTACTGCCTTGGAAACCCAATGGGGGTCACTATGAGTCAGAATCAACTCGATGGCAGTGAATGGTTTTTTTGTAGGTAAAACACCAGAAATTTTGAGAAAATCAGTGAGTATAAAACCATCCCACCACTCATCTGTCAGTTTGTCTTACTGTGGTGGTTTGCTTGTTGCTGCGAGACTGGAGGATATGGCTCTAGTATTTTAAATACCAGCAGGGTTACCCATGGTAGACAAGTTTAAGCAGAGCTTCCAAACGAAGACAGACTAGAAAGAAGAATGGGACCATCCACTTCTGGAAAAATTGACCACTGAAAACCTTATGAATAGTAGTGAAACACTGCCTACTATATTACTGAAAATTTTATGAATAGCTGTGAAACATTACCAGAAAATGAGTCTCTCAGATTAGAAGACACTCAAAATAAGACTGGGGAAAAGCTGCCTCCTCAAAGTAGAGTCTTTCTTAATTACATGGATGGAGTAAAGCTTTTGGGACCTTCATTTGCTGATTGGGCACAACTCAAAATGGTAAGAAACAGCTGCAAATATTCACTGATAATTGGAATGTGAAATGTACAAAGTATGAATCTAGGAAAATTGGAAGTTATCAAAAATGAGATGGAACACATAAAGATCGATATCCTAGGCATTAGTGAGCTGAAATGTACTGGTTGGTATTGGCCATTATGAATCAAACAATCATACAATCTACTATGCCAGGAATGACAAATTGAAGAAGAATGTTATCACCTTCATTATCAAAAAGAACATTTCAAGATCTATCCTGAAGTACAATGCTGTCAGGGATAGGATAATATCCGTACCCTTACAAGGAAAATCAGTCATTACTGCTATTATTCAAATTTACACACCATCCTCTAAAGCCAAAGGTGAAGAAATTGAAGACTTTTACCAGCTTCTGCAGTCCAAAATTGACCAACCATGTATTCAAGATGTATTGATTATTACTGGTGACTGAAATGCAAAAGTTGGAAACAAAGAAGAAACATTGCTAGCTGGAATATATGGCGTTGGTGATAGAAATGATGCTGGAGACTGCATAATAGAATTTTGCAAGACCAACGACTTATTCATTGCAAATACCTTCTCTCAACAACATAACCAGAAGCTATACACATGGACCTCACTAGATAGAACACACAGGAGTCACTTTGACTACATCTGTAGAAAGAGGCAATGGAGAAGCTCAATAACATCAGTCAAAACAAGGCCAAGAGCTGATTGTGGAACACACCATGAGTTGTTCAATATGCAAGTTCAAGTTGAAGCTGAAGAAAATTAAAACAAAGTCCATGAGAGCCAAAATATGACCTTGATTACATCCCACCTGAATTTAGAGATCTCTGAAGAATCTATTTGATACAGACCAAAGACCAGATGAATTGTGAGATGACATCAGAAACATTAGACACAAAGAAAGCAAACAATCATTGAAAAGACAAGAATGGAAGAAAAGACCAAAATGAATATTAGAAGAGACTCTGAAACTTGCTTTTGAATATAGCTAAAGGAAATAGATGAAATGATGAAATAAAAGAGCTGAACACAATATTTCAAAGGGCACCTCGAGAAGACAAAGTAAAATATAGGGAAATGTGCAAAGACCTGGAGTTAGAAAACCAGAAGGGAAGAACATGCTCGCCATTTCTCAAGCTGAAAGAACTGAAGAAAAAAATCAAGCCTTGAGTTGCAATACTGAAAGGATCTATAGGCAAAATATTGAATGATGCAAGAAGCATCAAAAGAAGAGAAGGAATATATGCAGTCACTGTACCAAAAAGAATTTATCAATGTTCAATTATTCAGGAGGTAGCATATGATCAAGAACCACCAATGGTATCGAAGGAAGAAGTCCAAGCTGCACTGAAGCAATTGGTGAAAAATAAGGCTCTAGGAATTGGTGGAATATCCATTGAGATGTTTCAACAAATGGATGCAGCACTGGAGATGGTTAGACTTTTATGCCAAGAAATTTGGAAGACAGCTACCTGGCCAAGTGACTGGAAGATATTCATATTTGTGCCTATTCCAAAGAAAGGTAATCCAACAGAATGTGGAAATAATCTAACAACATCATTGATATTACACACAAATAAAAGTTTGATGAAGATAATTGAAAAATGGTTGCAACAGTATATTGACAGGCAATTTCCAGAAATTCAAGCTGTATTCAGAAGAGGACATGGAATGAGAGATATCGTTGCTGATGTCAGATGGATAATGGCTGAAAGCAAAGAATACCAGAAAGATGTTTACTTGTTTTCCTGACTATGCAAACGCATTCAATTGTGTGGATCATAACAAACATTGTAAAAAATGGAACTCCAGGCACTTAATTATGCTCATGAGGAATCTGCATATAGACCAAGAGGCTGTTGTTTGAACAGAACAAGGGCACATTGCACAGTTTAAAATCAGGAAGGGTGTGCATCAGGGTTGTCTCCTTTCACCATACTTATGCTTTGGTAGTGTAGTGCCTAAGGCACTTGACTGCTAACCAGAAGGCTGCGGTTCAAACCCACCAGCCACTCCTCAGAAGGAAGGTTGGGCAATCTACTTCCATAGTAATACTGCCTCAGAAACCCAAGGAGGGGTCACTATGAGCCAGGTCCAACTCAACAGCACATAACAACAACAAAATTCAATCCATATGCTGAACAAATAATCCAAGAAACTGGACTATATGAAGAATGTGGCATCAGAATTGGATAAAGGCTCATAACAAATTGTGATATGTAGATGACACAACCTTGCTTGCTGAAAGTGAAGGCTTGAAGTACTTGCTGATGAAGATCAGAGACTACAGTCTTCAGTATGGATTACACCTCAACACAGAGAAAATGAAAATCCTCACAACTGGACCAATAAGCAACATCACAATAAATGGAGAAAAGATTAAAGTTGTCAGGGATTTCATTTTATTTGGATCCACATTCAACATCCATGAAAGCAGCAGTCAAATCAGATGCCGTGTTGCACTGGGCAAACTTGCTGCAAAAGAATTCTTTAAAGTATTAAGACGCAAAGATGTCACTTTGAAGACTAAGGTGAGCCTAACCCAAGCCATTGTATTTTCAATCACCTCATATGCATGTGAAAGCTGGACAATGAATAAGGAAGACTGAAGAAGAGTGATGCCTGTGAATTGCAGTATTGGTGAATAGTACTGAAAGTACTTTGAAATGCCAGAAGAACAAACAAATCTGTCCTGGAAGCAATTCAGCCCAAATGCTTCTTGGAGGTAAGAATGGCCAGACTTCATCTCACCTATTCTGGTCATATTGTCAGAAGGGACGATTCCTTGGAGGATATTTATCATGCTTAGTAAAGTAGAAGGTCAGCAAAAAGAGGAAGTCCCTCAACCAGACGGATTGACATAGTGGCTGCAACAATGGGTTCAAGCATAGGAAGGATTGTGAGGATGGGGCAGGACCAGGCAATGTTTTATTCTGTTGTACATAGTGTCACTATGAGTCAGAGCCAACTCGATGGCACCTAACAAAAACAACATAAAAACACCAGTAGCAACAAAAGCAACAATGTGTGCTTGTAGGGCATGCAGAAGAAACTACATTATTCAAAGGATCATTGTAATTGGGCAATAATGACACTGTGATCAGAGAACATTGTTGTTGTAGTTATGTCCTGTCGAGTCGGACCCAACTCATAGTGACCCCTCCTTGGATTTCTGAGGCAGTATCACTACGGAAG